ATGTGTATGTGTGTGTATGTGTGTGCATGTGTGTGTGTATGTGTGTGTGTGTGTGTGTGTGTGTGGATGTGTGTCTGTGTGTGTGTGTATGTGTGTATGTGTGTGTGTATGTGTGTGCATGTGTGTGTGGATGTGTGGATGTGCGTGTATGTGTGTATGTGTGTGTGCGTGTGTGTGTGCATGTGTGTGTCTAGGCCAGGGATTCATGCCAGGTGTTCTATCTATCTATCTATCTATCTATCTATCTATCTATCTATCTATCATCTGTCATCTATCTATCATTCATATCTATCTATCTATCTATCAATCGTCTATCTAGCTATCATCTATCTAGTTAGCTAGCTATGTATTGATTGAGACAATGTCTTACTATGTAGTCCTGGCTGGCCTGGTACTATGTAGCCCCCCTACTTCAGCCTTCCAAGTGCTAGGATTGCAGATATACTCCACCATGCCTGGCTCAGACTTGTTCTCAACAAAAGACAGGGTCTCTTGCAGGTCCTGAAGCTCTCTGATTCAATTACACTGGCTGGCCAACGTACAGCTCCAGGATCCTCCTGTCTCTGCCTCCCCCCAACCCCATCCTTTTCCCCTAGCACAGGGATTTCAGACACATTCAACTGCACCTGGCATTTTCATGCAGTGCTAAGTATGGGAACCCAGGTCCTCATGTTTATGCAGCAAACCCTTTTCCCACTGAGCCACCCTACCCCAGTCTGCATGCTAACAAGCACAGGGGTCCCTATGCTGGCTCAGGATAGAGGGTCACTCCCCACAGACATTATTTCATTCTGTAGACAGCATCTGAGTCCATAGCTCAGCCCTCCGCCAACCTGTCTGGAAAGGGCCAGAGAGTGAGTACAGTGGGTGGGGCTCTGCAGGTCACATGGGTCTCTGTCCCGTTTTCTTCTTGCTGAACACATCACAAATGTACATAAGCAGTCTTTGGGGGAAGGAGGATAAATTAGCTAATCAGAACAATCTTTGAAACCCACACCACAAAATCCATCCCAGGACACTTGGGGAAGGAAAGAGAACATTGTTGCAAGGCAGTTTCCTTCTCCTCCACGTCTCTCCTTGCTCTCTCCCTTTCCATCACAGCTCTTCAAACCACTTGGCTCCGGTCTCTGATCCTATCGGTTTATTGGGGGTTCTGACAACACCAGTTAGGCCTGGGGTAGCCTAATCGAGGCTGACTTCCCAACTCCCTGGTTGAGAGCTGTTCGCCACTGATGCCAAGGAGGTAATTGAGACAACACGGGCTCATCGCCGGCAGACTGCAGGCCAGGAAGGAAGTTGTCAGTACTGAGAGGAACACAGCCCATCAAACTCAGGGCCAATATTCAGTCTACTTTCCTTGAGAGCCCCACGGGACCAATCCCTTGGGAGACTCTCCTGCCTGCTCCTCCCCCAGCCCGGCCTGGCAGTACCCTCAGATTTGCAGCTTACAGAACATCCAAGCCAGGGAACTGCAAGTAGTTATGGAACTTGGTTATCGTCAGACAATGAAACAGGCAGACTCCCCAGCTTCAGAGACAGTGTCCCCTACTCTTCCCGATAACCCAGCTGGTCTGCCACACTGAATACTAATGGGCCAGTTGGGTTGTGGGACTGTCCTTTCTCTGACCGGTCATCTTCTCCCCTTCCCATCTCCCCCATCTCTGCTGCCATCCTCCCACTAGGTCATCCTCCCCTAGGCTGCTCCTTGTCCCACCTGCCTAGGAAATGGGGCCACGGGAGGTACAGAGCTAACAGCCACAGTGGGGCATTTCTAGATTTTTTGTTGTTGTTGTTCCCCCACCCCCCTTTCTAGATGTTTTTATTTAAGAAAAAACATAAAAGGCTGGAGAGCTATCTCTCAGTTAACGACTGCCAGTAACTCCAGTTCCAAGGGATCTGACGCCCTCTTCTGGCTTCTGCAGGCACTGTATGCACATGGTACAT